GGCTATTTTTTGGTTGCAGCCGTCATTGTTTGGCGGGTCTGGGCTGGGGATTTGAACCCGCCACCTTAGGTGTACATGGCTGGCGCCTTAGCCGGTTGAGCTATAGGCGCCGAGCCCTAAAATTAATTTTAAATAAAGCTCCACCAATCTCATGATTCAAACTTAAACTACTTTTTTTTTTAAAATATTACTTTCTAGTCTTTTTTTTTTTTTTTGTAGAGACAGAGTCTCACTCTGTTACCCTTGGTAGCATCATACAGCTCACAGCAACCTCCAACTCCCGGGCTTAGGTGATTCACTTGCCTCAGCTTCCCGAGCAGCTGGGTCTACAGGTGCCTGCCACAATGCCTGGCTATTTTTTTGTTGCAGTTTGGCCAGGGCCAGATTTGAACCTGCCACCCTCGGTATATGGGGCCAGCACCCTACCTACTGAGCAGCCCTGAGTAGGCACTGCCCTACTTTCTAGTCTTAATCTGCAATGCAGTTTTTTCTTTTTTTGTGTGAGTCAGAGCCTTGTTTTGTCTCTCATGGTAGAGCGCTATGGCATCATAGCTTAAAGCAACCTCAAACTCCTGGGCTCAAGTGATCCTCCTCCCTCAGCCTCCTGAGTAGCTAGGACCTCAGACATCCGCCAGGACACGTGACTAATTTTTCTGTTTTTAGTAGGCATAGTGTTTCACTCTTGCTTAAGTTGTTTTCGAACTCATGAGCTCGAGGGATACTCCTGCCTTGGCCTCCCAGAGTGCTTAGATTACAGATATGAGCCACTGAGCCCAGCCTGCCTTGCAGTTTTTATTTATTTATTTTTATTTTTATTTTTCTGAGACAGAGTCTTGTTATGTCGCCCTTGGTAGAGTGCTATAGCATCACCACTCACAGCAACCTCAAACTCTTGGGCTAAGGGATTCTCTCGCCTTACCCTCCCAAGTAGCTGGGACTATAGGCACCCACACAACACCTGGCTATTTTTTGTTGTAATTGTCATGGTTGTTTAGCTGGCCTGGGCTGGGTTTGAACCTGTCAACTTTGGTGTATGTGCCTGGCACCCTAACCACTGTGCTTCAGGCACTGAGTCTGCAATGCAGTTTTTAAAAGAAGATGGCCAAAACAACCACCACCAAAAAATAAGGATGAAAACAGTTTTGGTTGCTGTTCCTCTTTTAATTTGTGGATTTT